AAGTTATGAGCAAGAAGTGGAGATAGTAAACACGAGCAGATCGTGGGAGATCATTTATCCAAATTGGAAGTTATCCCAGCAGTTGAGATCAAGTTTTGGTGGACAATGAAATTGGAAAACGTGGGTAGATAAGGCAGTTATTGAAAGCGCCAAAATTCAAAGTTCGAAAACAAAGAAGTAACCGACAAGCAGTTACAGGGTAGGAGGAGATATACGTACTCAGAGGAAAGAAGAAGAAAAAAAACCCGCACAAGAATGCAAAAACACTCAAGTTTATATGCACTTTAGTTTCATTTGCACTTTTACTTCCTGCGTTTACAGCTTCCTGTAGCTTTAGTTAATCTTCAAGCCCTTTACCGCTTTCGTAGGAGTATTGTAACGTAACTTGGAACTCTGTTGATCCCAGATCCATTTTCAATCCACTCAATTTCTACCCGCTTCCACATAACCCAGCACTACACTCTGTTTTTTCGCCACGATATTCCTAATAATCAAGCCACAGAACCTACTTTAATAAAAACCGAAAGTCACAGTTTCGGTGAAGGATATTCCTCGTCGAAAAACGAGCGAACAATTACATAAAAACGTGACACGATTGAATTTATTAATAGCATGGAATGCGAATACAAAAATAAGATTGGACGAGGACTAGATTGGACGAGGACTAGCTAAGAAAAATGCATTACGATATTATGAATTTCCGGAATTTGTTTTTTGGTCGAAATTGCTCGAATTAGTAAGCAATGATTTGAACTGATAAGTCGAAGATAGTCCATGTTGAAATAAAGGGATTTGAGTAGCTTAAATTTATGAAGATTGCTGCAATAAAATGATTTGAAAAGATGATTTGACATGGGTAGTAGATTTTTGGTTTGTTTGTATTTTTTGAATTATTCTTGCTTTTGTGTTTGTCTTCATTTATACATTTGTCCTCAAAATTTATTTAGCTTGTTAGTAACATATCAATTAACTATGGCCAAAAGTCGAAAATATTAGCTATTTCCCTGATATTGTATTTGTTCAAAATGTTACATTTATAAGCGGAAAAAAAATTGCTAAATGACATTAAATCAAGAGTGCCCGTGAGTAGTTAGCCTTCACTAATAAAGCTTTCGACTAGGTAAAAATTTCAAACAAGGACCTGAAGTGCCCTTATTTTCTCAAATAATAGTCTAAAGTGGATCTTGTTTCAAAAAAGGGCCTAAAGTGGCCATGGCAGTTTCAAATAAAGGCCTGACATCGTGGGCCGGCTAAATATTCCGGCCGGTGAAGGGCATTTTCGTTCAAAAATAATTTTAACTTAAATTTTAGTTAAATTAGATTAAAAAAAATTGTTACATAAAAAATTACAGGCGGGAAAGCTGGCAGTCCGCCTGTGGCCGCTGACCCATCGCCGATGGGGCATTGGCCATGGCCGGCGCCTTAGCTATATGTGAAAATAATCAGGAGTCACTTGCCAAGCACTCCGCAGTCAAAAAGAACAGAAGGGCAAGATCTTCATCTCTTCTTCAAGCACCAATTACTCGAGCGTTCAAGTCCTCGACACGTTAAATCATTGCCTTCTCGAAAGGGCAAAGAGCCTTGGCGCTTTCACTGACTCTCATCTCAAGCTTGCACACTGAAAGCTCTCCAGCGACTTGTCCCGGAAGTCGAGTCGAGTCGTGACCGAAGAACACGGAAGGCGTCGTCTCGCAAAGGACAGAAGCAAGAAAAGGAAATATATGGATGGAAAGGAGAAAGACTCGCCAACTTTGCTGATGGACACAGTCTTCCTTGTCCTGTGCATAAGATGCCGATGTAACCGTAATTGTCCGAGACTTCGAAGTCGAGGTCAACACGGTCGTTGAACTAGTAAGAAAATGAAGGGTCTGTCATGGAGTTTCGCACGGCGTTGATTGATGAGCACACGGAAACTGGGACCTGGAGAACCAACCAAAACCGTATGGTGACTGCTAATGGTTGGAGATGGAGATGGAGATGGGAGTCATCAAAGAACATCTGTCACCGTGTCATGCTGTGACCAACCAACTCCATGGATGCCCTCTCCTGAAACCTGTGTACGCGCGATGATATACGGTCCCGCTCTTCGAACCGAGAAGCATTGCTTGAGGATCGGATCGTGAAATAGTACGCCGTGTAACGGCGACGATCATACCACACCACACAATTCCGTGCTGGTATAAATCTGACAAGAAAATCAGGTCCTGCTATTCATCTGTTTGCTGTCACTTCCAAGTCGAACAAAGCTTATCCGACGTAATCTCCTTGTCACGAATTTACGATGGACCGAACGACTGCAAGCATGGCGAGCATATTGTGTGGATGCAGAATTTTAATGTTCCGTGTCAAAAAATACAATTCGCTTTCCATGCTTGTAAATTTTTATTGGTAAGCTCACAATGCTATATCCTGTCTGTCCTCCCTGTTCAAAACCTAAGTTCGAATCGTCACTCTTGCGCATTCTCCTAATACCACTCAGGGAGCACAAATTCTAAAAGTGTATCTAGTAATTACATGGTATGCTTGAGATGGGAGGAATGTCCCGCTCGATAAGGACTGGTCGGGTGCTCAAAAAGTCTTGGATGTCCATTAATGTAAAAGAAAAAGTACCAATAGGATATGTAAATTTGTCTGGTAATTTAAGTGAGAACGAAAGAAAGGAAAGATAAAGGAAATCGGATCAGAAGAAAAGAAAGAAAACGAAATTAAAAACCCTAGAAGTGATATTCACTTTTGGTAAAAATAAGGATAATTGTGAAAGAAGATTGCGATATTTACATTTCTTTCAACTTCTCCTCGACTGTGAAAAGAAATAAAAAAGGTAGGTCACAAAGAAAATTGTTTTTAAAATGATCTCCACCAATTCCGCTCCTACGTATAAACCCAAATAAGGAAACAAATATCCCTAAAAAGTTATTTCCACCCATTTTCCTTCTTGTCTCTTCATTCAAATAAATGCACGTGATTCTCAACCATTCCTTCCCTTGTTCGCGGAAAATGAATGATCTAAAATAAAAACGATCTATTGTATTACTTGAAATAATTAGTCAATAAAAATATTTTCATTGTTGACAATAATTTATGTATAAATATTTTAACGGATGATGAAAATATTTGTGCTTCATTTATTTTTTTAAGCGATGCAAGCATTCGTTTTTAGAAGAACGTTCTCCGGATTATTCATTTTTTGCGAAATAAACGGATATATAAATTAAATATGTAATGGTAAATTCTTATCGATGTACAACGTGGCCTATCATGCATATATTTGAAGTAAATTCTTATCGATGTACAACGTGGCCTATCATGCATATATTTGAATCGTAAATTGAGGGTTCAAACTCTCGAGAGACACTTCTAATTAATTTACCGCTTTTGATCGGTCGTATGTTGAAAACATATTCATATATTATCATAACCTGATGATCAAAACGAGTTAGTGAAAAAATATATTGAACCTATAATGTGATCCACATTGGGATAAAATTGCAAAGTAAAAAGAACATTTAAATCAGAGTTCCCTCACTAAAATAATATTTAGGTAATCAATGACTTTTGAAATTATTGAGGTAGATATTATTGTTTAAATATTGGATGATAATAAATTATTTTCATAAATAGCACTATCATATTATTTATGAAATAGTCCCGTTAACCTCATGAATCACGTATGAACAAAAAAAAAAACCTCGTGAATCATGTAGTATACTCGTGAAAATCCAATTAAATGGTCTAAAATCCATATCAATCGATGGTCTGAAAAATCGGACATGTATCGTGCACCTAATTGACACACAAAATTTCGTTAATTGACTATGAAGATGCGGTTTTCTACTATGAAGAAGTGATAAAGCTTTTCTTATAAATGATACCTTCATATCGATGCCAATGTACTCAAAAGATAATATAGTCTTTGGGAATTGCAAAAGTTCTCGAGCAACGACTTTTTATAGATTAAATTAATTCATTAGCGCCAGGAAATAAATTGCATTGATAGCATTAGGAACTGGTGATCTATAAAACCGCGAGCAATGATATTGCACAAAAGTTACAGTAATTGAGGGGTTAAGGGATAATTATCGAAAAAGTTATAAATCTTTTAATAGTGCCAATTTAGTCCTAAACTTTTCAATTGTATCAATTCAGTCATAAATATTTTGAAATTTAGCCAATTTAGTCCTAAACCTATTATTTGAATAATAGATAATAGGCCAAAGGACTATTTTGACAAATCATCAAAATATTTAGGACTAAATTGGCATAATTGAAAAGTTTATGATTGAATTGGCCGCCGCACAATAAATTTAGGACTTTTTCGACAATTTTCCCGAGGGTTTAGTCTATTATGCGAAAAAGTTAACATGTCCTTACAACATAACATTGTATATTGAATATTGGCGATCCAATTATAGCAATATCCTCGAACAGGGACATCCTCACAAGTCACATGGCACAGTAAACCTAATTCGTACGAAGTTGCGTTGCGTTCCAAGACTTTCTGAGGCGCCAAAACAAAAAAGGAGGAGCGACCCACGAGCTCAAACAGAGTCAAGCTGAACTGGAAAAAAGATGGGAATCTGAGGTCCACCCACCCACATGATCTGATCAGTCCGCCCAGAGGAAACAAGAACCGGTTCAAGACGACGAAAAGCCCGCAGAGCTCATCATGCACCAACACTTCTCAAACCCTCCCCTACATCTTCCTGAAGTTGCTCACCTAAAACCGCCACGCACGCACACATGCCGAAATCAGAGGACAGTTGGTCTGCATTGTCCTTTCGAGACAGGGACATCTTCTCCGAAACGATTTGATCATCATGGTCCGTGACAGATGTTTCATAGGTCGTGTCATGGAATGTCTCCTAAATACAGACATTACTTTAAGGAGAACGCCTACCTGTATCTCTCCACGAGAAGAGATCTGTGTTGAAATCTTTAAATAATGCTCCTTTCCTTAGGTTGTTCGTCAGATTCCATGACTGCCCTCGTTGAAAGAGAGCAACCGTTTCAATTCATTGTGCTCTGCACATCCACATTTACAAGACACAACTCAAGGTTGCTGCCGCACACCCAGATGAACAGAGAGAAAGAGAGAAACAAAAGCAAACAAACAGCACCCACATCCATCACCAGCACATAAATTATTTATTCAAGGCACTCCATATAAAACACCATTCTAGGCACTGGTTTGTTGGCGATCCAGCCAAGCAGTCGGACAAAAGGCCTCATTTCGAGCCTCTTCACTCAATTATTACCTAACTTCCTCCTCCACTGTACTTTGACAGCAACCACTATTGTATTGCATTCACACAGACTATCCTTCACGACATTGTCACTTTCTTCTTCGTCTGCTCTGCCTGCATCATCCATTGGTTCACCCTATTTGACTAAAAGAAAGAGACCTTTTGTCTTTCATTTCACTCCTTTATTCTGTATTCTATTCTAAACCATTGTCTATTGGTTTCTAGCTGAAAAGAACTTTCCCATCGGATTGGGACCAGAAGACGATCCGTGCATGTGCCGAGGCCCAAGGCCAACTTCAATAAATCCACTCTTGAGGCAGGTCTACATCGCTTTGGTTCAGGGCTGGTGTCGCCTCGGATTGGCGCTCCTGCTGGAGATTCGAGCCAGTACTACTTCCACTTGTAGCAGCATCTGCAAAATGAAAGATAACAGAGCAAAAGTGACACTGCTGGTTTTGTGAGAGCTTTTGAATTTCTCAAAGACAAGCATATAGTAAGGGTACAAAGAAGAATTAATTATATTCCTGAAAGGCGCAACATAACGGCCGATGTGCAATACATGGCGATTATATTCCCGAATCTGAAGGGTAGTTGATAGACACCGATACAACGGTAACAGCCGACAACAGTTAAAGCCTTATCCCACTACATACGATCATCTTATGGACCGGAAGCAAAAAAACTCGAGTAATTATATCAGTAAGCCGCCTTACCATGTTGCGGATGAAAGTAACTGACGCCCGGCCGCGACTGGGCGCCCATTTTGTCGTAATGGACCATCAGGGCATGAGCAACTCTGGCCGGTATCAGAACTGTTGAACATCCTAATAAGACACACAAAGTGCACCAATAACATCAGGTTTGGCTCTTGCCATTGACATTAGTCGCAGTTTCTTGGCAATCTAGAACTGTCAAGCCATTGAAATGCAGAGCTTGGAATATATAACAACAGGGACAGAAAAAACAAATCTGCGGGTGGGCCATGGAAGAAGATTCCAGCTCGCAAAATGAAGATTTTCTTTTTCAGGGCTAGAAGGAATCTTTTGAAAGTGGGGATTAATAAGAACGAAACAAGTCACATCTGAACAAGAGAAGATTCAAAAATTGACGGAAAATGGGACGGATGATATTCCACTGCAATTCCCTAACCACTCCATCTACTCAGGAAAACAGAGGATAACCAAACAGACGAAACCGAAACTCAAAGTAATTCGAGAAAACACCCGAAAAAATAAAACAGTGGATAAAGAAAATCGCGAAAGGTTCGAGGATCTTACTCGGTTTCTTGCGTGATTCAGAAGGGTCGTTGCCCGCTCCACGAGGCAAGAACACGCCGGTCCCGCTTGACCCGTTTCCGGGCCCGGACCCACCCAGGAATACCGCCCTCATGCCCGAGCCCGCTCGCCGGAGCGCCTGTCGTTGGGCCTGCCGATGGGTCGTCGCCGAAGGAGGCGGCGCGGTGCTTGCCGTGGCCGTGGCCGTGGCCATCCCCCCGTTGCCGCCTCGCTTTTTCCGGTTCTTGGACCTCGATTGCTTCGCGACCAGCTCCGGTTGGACCCGATCAAACTGCGTCGCACAGACAAGCCAAAGGCAAGACGGTCAAACAAAACACACGAGCAGCACATACCGAATCATCACCAGACTCGCAACAGGATCAGCCCTTACTTCGTTGGCCATGATTCCACCGTTTGAAAGAGCTTGACTTGAGCGACGGACCGAAATTGAGTGGTCCAGAGGAGCAGGATCGTAAAAGTTTTGATGAAAGTTGCGATTTTGAGGCTCTTGCTCGTCGAAGCTCATCATCTTCTCGAACTGGTCGGAGAGATCGTGCGAGATGTCCCAGGCACGGTCGCTCTCCGGAAATGACAAATTTTTGCTGCTCTGGTTCGCAGCAAAAGGCGACCACAGCGTCGACGGAGGCGAACCAGCCAAACCCCATGCCTGCAAATCGACACACGCATCAGAAAAATCCCAACTTTCCTCAATTTTTCACATCTGGGAATCTTTTTTGAATGAATTAAGTAAGCACCTGGCTCAGAACAGAGTGCTTGACGTCGTCGTCGTCATCCTCTTGAAGCATGCGATGAGCCATCTGGCGAGTCAGCTCGGCCATGTACTCGTCGTCCTCGTAGCTGCTCTCCGTCGTCGCCACTTCCGACCCCGACGGCGTGCTCGGCCCCGAACCCGACAAGGACGGGCTGCTCGACCCGGAGCGGCAGCGATTCTCCTGCGGGCTGCGGTCGTTCTCCGAGGAAGATCGAGAGCGAGGCCCGGGGACAAACATAGATGAGGAGGGTGGGAGCACTAACTGCGCTTGGTGTAGATCAGCAGCCATCATAAATGGCATTGGGTTCAAGCACATAGGATCTATTTATGAGTGTGTCAGAGCTTCTGTGTGTTCTTTTCTTCTCCCCTCTTAATTACCTGGTCACGCGGGAAGGAGACAGAGCACCACCGCCATCAGAGGCCATGAGATGATACTGGACGAACGAAACGAACTCTCTGGTCTCAGGTTTCGGGAGTTCCCAGAGTTCTGAGAAACAGGGTCCTCATGACGATTTATAGAGAGAGATAGAGAGACAGAGAGACAGAGACAGGGGGAGATCGGTACCAAGGTACTTCTACTAGGGTTCTGTTTCTGTCTCGCTCTGACTTTGGGCCTGCGGCTCTGCAAATATATGGGGGAAGGGGGAGAGACGTTTTTAAAGGTCTTTTGGCTAACGATTTTGGAGGTTTCTTTAAGATCAAATTGATGGCTAATCCCAACAACAAATCATTTTGAGCAAGTTCAAGTGGATTCTCCTAGGAGTGTATATGAGGATATCGCCCCATTTGCGTTTGTTAAAAATGTACTAAAATATTTGCACGCGCCTCGCCTTTGCGAGAGGGAATTTAAATGTGAAAGGATTTTGTTTGATTTCTCGAATTTTTTAAATGTATTTAGGTGATGGGAAAGTCAATATAATGTCGAGGGGAATCTTTCGAAACGAACTACTAGGGTTTTTTTTTTTTAATCTATTTCCACTTCCTCGGGGAGGGAACTTGGTTTTTTTTCGAAAGAAGTTCGACGTCCTTGATTGGGCACTCTCTTTACCCCGGTGTCTCCTTTGCTGGGACCGAGGTTAACAAAGAGGCTTCATTCTGGTGTCGCGGTACCATAGCGTGCAAAAACAGTGAAGGGTTGATAAGTTCGGGTCGAAGATCGGGAATTGAAGACTCTTTAGTGTAATGCCGCACGATAGGCGGAAACAAATGGATAGGCGGAAGATGTTAGAGATGTTATTTGTATTGCTCGTCATTTACTACTCTCTTTCTTTTACACACTAACCAGGAGGAAGACGGGAGGCCCGGGGTTTTTTACTCGAGGTTTTTATTTAATATGATCGAGTAGAAACGTGTGCACACACGGCCACCAAGCCTGTTTCATGTACAGCGAGCTTGCATGGAAGCGCGAAGCGAGAGATCATATGGGACGTCGTATGTGAAAACTCCGCTTCCAAATATATACGTATGCATGCATGCGATTAATCATGTTCTTAAAGGAGTGGATCTCACAAAGATTTATAATATTTATTTATTTATTTATTTGTGGTCCAAAACATATTGTTAATCTCACAATAGACTAAAGACCGTCACTTAATCATTTCTCTTTAAGATTACTTTAATTGTTTCTATAGCCAATTGTGCCGGAAAAGTTATCAATTGTTGCAATTATTGATCTCATTTGTATTCGCAAGTGTTTTTAATTTGATTTTCATATTTTCTATCTCCGTTTGTTATGCGAAAAATGAATAATTTGAAAAATAAAATATTTTCTTAAAAATAATCGCTTATGTCGCTTGAGATAATTAGTCGATAGAAAATACTTTCATTGTCTATGGCAATTTATGTTTAAACGTTTTCATGAATAATAATAAAAAATTTCATTTATCCATTTTTTGTAAGAGACACAAGTGATATTTTTAGGAAAACATTTTCTAAATAGTTCATTTTCGCAAAATAAACGGAGCCATAGCTAACTAGCAAAAGACTAAAGAGTACAGGAATGTAACTAAAAAAACAAAAGTAATAAAATATAATATTTCTACATAGAATGAACCAAATCCAAAAATAAGTTAAATTTCAAGTTTCCATCAATAAATTCTGTGGAAAAACTTGTACTTTATATTCAGAACTCGTGCTTTTAAAATCTAATACTTTTCAATAATGGAAACTTAGTTATTTCTCATCTTTTTTTGGTAAGTTAAATTCTTCTTTTTATCTACAAGAAATTAAGTGTATCTTCCAAAAGGACTAAATCTTCAATTACTTACTTCTTTTAACGTAGTAATCTATAATTTTTTTTTACTTTATTCGTTTGCTAGTATTTAGAAAAAAGATAATATTTACGAGTTCTAACCACTTTAAGAAATAACTTTAAATGGTAATTAAGATAAGATCTAATTTCAAATTTGGAATATGAGATATTGGTGTAGTTGCACAGCAATTATCTTGACGATTTCATATTCCTATTTTGTCTTGTTACTCGAAAATAAATTGTTACCTGTCTATACAATTTCCAAAGTCAACTTTCTGATTTGGCGTCTGCCTCCAAATGACTAAAATAGCTCAATTCTATAAAAAAAAAATAGTTACTGAGAGTTTATTATCCTGCCTAAAAACATTGGTGTCTATCATGATCTGTAGGGTAATTAAGTGAATAGAGTGTGCCAAGGAACTAGAATATATAATAGCAAAGGTGAGTTGTCATGGCATTTTTACGAAGGGTTTCGAGATTGGAAAGTCGATAAATTTACCTTGTATACAGTAAAAATCATACCATATTATTTGGAGGAGCAGAGTCACATCGAATGTCGCCAGGAGTTAATTGTTTACTATATGGTGGATCTGAATAGGTGCTCTAATGATTTCGAATTAGATTTTGGAAAGACGTGTCTAGAACTTTGGTCTTTTCATTAACAAAAAAAATAAAATGCGGGTTTGAATATAAGATGAACGGGGATTAATCACCATAAAAGATAATATTTACGATTTGACATGACATAGATTTGAAAAACAAAAAAAATTGATAAAAAAAGCCATCCTTGAAAATAGAATATTGCTCGTGTTAGGGAAAATTATTCAAAAAGTCATAAATCTATTACACTTTTGTCAATTCAGTGCTAAACATTTTCACTTTTTGCCAATAGAGTCCATCCAGCCAATTTTGCCCGGCCGCCACTGATGTGGCCGTCGGCCATCCGGTCAACGCTGACGTAGCAAATTTTAAATTTTTTTTCGAATTTTTTAATATTTTTTCGTTTTTCTTCTACCCTTTCGGCCTCTGGCTGGTCCAGCAAGATCGACCTCACCGGCCTCTGGTGAAGCTCGCCCCCGCCGGCCACTGGCGAGGGCGAGCCTCGCTCGCTGCTGCCAAGCCGACCTCATCCAGCCAAGGTGAGGCTGACCTGCGACGGCGCTGGGCGAGGTTGGCCTCGCCTTGACTGGGCAAGGTCGGCTTGGCAGCGGCGAGCGAGGCTCGCCCTCGCCAGTGGTCGGCGGGGGCGAGCTTCGCCAGAGGCCAGCAAGGTCGACCTCGCCGGCCTGCACCTCTGGCAAGTTGCTAGTCGCCGGACCGGCCAGAGGGAAGAAGCGCAAAAAAAAAAAATATTAAAAATTTTGAAAAAATTATTAAAAAAATTGCTAAGTCAGCATTGGCAGGAAGTGAAAAGGTCTATGACTGAATTGGCAAACATAAAAAGTTTAGAACTAAATTGACAAAAGTGCAATATGTTTATAACTTTTTGAATAATTTTCCCGCTCGTGTTATATTATGTAGCAAGGTAGATTTTTATCGATATCAAGGTTAATAAGCTAGATTATGTCCCCAGCTGTTTACTAATTTCGGTTTCAAAAACTAATGAAGAATAATAATAAGTCCGTGGCCCGTGGATGATCAATGATCTGCACCAATAAAACACCGTGTGCATACCGAAATCACCAATGAGCCTCTATCATGACATTTTTTAGAACGACGCCGGTCAAAAGGACATGCGCGCGTGCGCACACATACAAAAAGCATATGAATGCTCCAATTTTCTATTATTTTAGGTCGGAAGTCATGTCACCTAAATTAAAGAAAGCTTGCGATGAAGTGTTTTTCTTTTTTTTTTTTTCTTTTTTTCTTTGTGTCAACGGAAAATGGGGCACACGAATTATAAATGTCAATAAGCCATTATTAATTGAGAAGGCGCCCGAATAGAAAAGACAAATCTCATAATTTTTTTTTGATCGAAAAAATATTATAATCATAATAGTGGAATCTTGGGGATTCTTGCGTGCACAACTTGCCATTATAGGCCAAATCTTTTACCCGGTATTACTTATTTTTTCCTATTTTAGAAAACATCATGGAGAATTTTTTTTTAAAACCTTAATTGCCTCGACTAATTACATTCCTATTCGGGCGATTGGGATTCCCATGCCTTGTTTTGGATATTAATGTTTAAATTCCGTTTTTATACTTTTACGTCTTTTCTAATCAAGTGCTTGCACTTTTAATTTTTCTAATTTGGTCATTCTACCGCTACGAATTATCCAGTCAAGTTCTATGGCTCCAAATTTGGCCGATCGAGGTGATAGGATCATTGCGCAACACCAAAGTATGACATGGACACTACCGTGAAAAATAAAAAGGAGTTTGTTTGGTTTATTTTCTTTTTATCTTTCCACGTAACGTCCATCAACATCGGTAAAGTGTTGCCCCCATCATAGTCCGACGTCGTCCGGCGATTATATCGGTTGAATTTGGTTGATTTGATGTCAGAGAGACTTTATTAGATAGTTTGTGCAAGTGAAAACGCTTGATTGGATAAATTAAAAGCGCATAAACTTGATTGAGAAAAACGCGAAAATACATGGATAGAATCGTTCGTATTTTCATCATCTTAGAAAATGCATTTCTTTTCATTGGTTCATGTATTGAATTCCAATGCCTTTCATCTATATAGTCCTAACGTCCTGTTGATCGTCCAAACGCGATGACGATAGAAATGGTCTCATTTTCTTCAATTACGGGGGTTGGAAATCCTAATATTGAAAAGAAGGTCGAAAGAGAAGCTGCACAGGACAAAACAAATTTAATGCCAATAAAGTCAACTAGCCATGATGTTTCAATTGGGAAATTTATGGGAAAATAGTTTAGCCTCTGACTTTTATTCTACTGAGTTTTCACAATAAACTGAGTGTATACGCACATATTCGTATTTTACGCATATTTTTACTCACACGTCAATATCACTTGATTTTTATTAATTAATATGTTTTTCAAAAGAAAAATAAATCCGCTCTTTTTCCATTTCCCATTTTGAGGGTCTAAGGTCGAAACCTTGGATAAAGAAGATATATTTATCCAGCCTTGCAATTTCACCTGGCATCTGTTGGGATTGCATTAATTTCTTTTCCTTACCAAAATAAAAAGGAATTTATTTTTTTCCTTTTTAATTAAATTCTCATCTTCTACAATAAATATATCATCATAGTATCTCCAACTCCCCCAACAAGGTTGGGGCTATTATTGCACATTACCAATTTGGTTGACCCCCCCTAGAGTCGCAGTTGGCAACATCAAAACATTTATTATA